AGAAGTCGATAGGCCTGTTTTGTGCAATACACGATATGCACGATTCTGAGGTAGATCTGTCGGGATTTCCATAGCAACTGAAGGTTTGGTGTAAATGGCACCGCAGATTTCCCGCAGATCCAGCGACATTATCATAGAAAGAATCTAGTTTTGTGCGGAATTTTTCCAAGTGGGCGTTGCATGAGACTTTTCAAGCCATGATAAACATAACCTTACTTGATCAGTTCTTACCTAACCTAACTATTTCACTCCCACTGCAAATGCAGTAACCTCATCATGAAAGGTAAGTGGAGGATTCCAGGATTCTTCTTCTGGTAAAAGGAACTATCATAGCTTTGCTGGAGTTTACAGACATCTACTCCCTCTAGCAGCAACTATGAACATCGCCTACCTATCTCAATGTGATCGTTGCCAATTTCAGAAGGTTGCCTGCATAAGCTTGCAGGTCTACTCCTAATCTGTCAAAGACATCCAATCCATAATTGGAAGTGTCTTTTTGTCGAAGCTTTTCTAATATTCAGTTGATGCATTGTGAAATGTTCCTTTGAAATGAAGAAATATGGCCACCGGAATATCTTCTTCGTTGACAAATAGAAGATAGAGAGACTTTATCATCAATGTTGAGTAGCGTCTATCCGTCAATTTGTCAGTTTAATGAGCATATGGTGTTTATTCAGGGAGATGTTTCCTTTCAGTAGAAAATATGTTACGGTCATGCGTCGCACCGACTTGGGATTTGGTATTGGCGCTCTACTTCAGCTCCACTAGCCGCCAACCAACTGTGTGATATGTATATCCGCACCAGGATAGCAATATACAGTTCTGAAGCAGAGCTGAAACCTAAAATGATTTGATCAATTCAATTGCCAGCACTGTTATAACGTTCTTGGCGACCTTCCAGTGGACCTTTATGGACGATGGATATCCTTAAAGAGGAGAGATCGATTGTTATCAAGAGTCAAACTTCCAAGTGAATTGTTTTCTATCAATTTTTTTCGTTCCGTTCAACCCAATTTTCCTGCTGTTCTGATGCTTCTCACTAATATCGAAAATATTCATATATTCAGGTATTTCAATATGCAAATCATAGACATGGTCCTATGAACTATGACGTCACTTTAACATATATCCCACCTGAGGATAACACAACGTTTGAGCCACTACGTCACAGCACCATGTGACAAATCAAATACAAAAATTTTCACAATGGAAATATGCAATATGTGAAACATGATGACTTATCTGACGTTTAAAGTATGAGTGACGTAGATGCCAAATGGTGAACCTCTTCATCTTTTTTCAGCTGTAGGAGTCAATGTTCTCTATTTAATGGCCAATCCATACTATAACGTCACTAATTCTTATGGTTACTTTATTTCGTTCTGTTTGTGTTTCAAAGAACATTATTATTATGTTCACTCCTCTCGTCACAGTGTAGGTACTCGAAGAATATTCCACTGCATCAATTCAAAATGCTTTGAATAACATGAATCTGATGTTCTAGTATAATCAGGGTTCAGAGAAAGGACCCCAACTCAACCCTGCGAATTTTGTCGCTCCAGTAAACCCACACATCTCGTCAGCTACACAGAAATGTATTTGAAAGAGATACACTTTGTGGCTTTAATGAAAAGGTTTCAGGTTGCCGATCCCAGATACTCTGTCGTTTTTTCACGTCATAGTCCAATCAATGAGTGCTATAAATAGGGGCGTAGAGTGCATTAAACATGTTATATTCCGCAGCGCAAACAGAAAGTATTTATAGAACAACGTAGAATGGAATCAAAGGCGAGGATATCTGTCTCAAGGCAGGTAGGTGGGACACATTTTTTCCGTCAGCCGCTTCCTGTGCTATTCCTTGGTACTATCGTTGTACATTACTTCAGGGATAGCTGGCATTTGGCTCAGATGGGAAACCTTCATAGCGCTGCCCTCATACGGCAGTCCATAGACTCCCAGGTCGATGGGTGCAAGTCCCCAATGCTCCAGTAAAAACCGTCCTCCTCTCGCTTGCTGACTCATATTGTACCCCGTACAATTGGTCTTCCTGTTCCAAATTTTCCATTTCTTCTCTCTGTCTTCTATTTCTTCGATTTCTATAATGTTCCTTATAGTTTTATGAGTATTTCTCACATTTTTTCTCCTGAGATGAGAAACGTCATCATGTTTGGTATTTCACTGATATTGTAGTCGCTCTCTTTCCCATCTGATGAATGAAAAGATGTTGTGCTCCACATCATCAATGTTTTTGCAGTATGGACAATTGTCAAAATCTGTTTTTCGGCTTTCGAAAAGATATATTTTCAAACATTGATGCCCTGAGAGAGCCTGTGTCAGGCTGTTTCGCCTTATCATTCATCTAGTCAAGCACAGCTTTTTATTTCCAACTACGTTTTACTACGCTTCACCGGGATACCGTATAACAACTTTGAGTGGAGGACCTAGAGCATAGAAAGTCCTCTTCGATGATCTAGAGTCTCCTTCATTTGGTAGGAGACAAGAGAGGTGGTTACTGTCTTTCCTACTTCCTCAATGATTTTATTGATGTGTTTCGCAAAAGTAAGCTTTGCGTTTACCCATATTTCACAGTCCTGCTTGGTGTTAACAACGTGTTCACAACATAGGAGTTGATGGTGGATATTCTGCCCTTTAGGCCCATTCAATGAATGCTGAGAATTGGGTCTTCTGTCGATCCCATAGATGGTATCTTTGTAGAGAAAGATGTCAACGCTTTCACTTTCAGGGTTGTACTCCTTAAGATAGTTCAGTGGTTCAGCCTAGCACCACTGATGAGACTTTGGCGGGTCAAAACAGTGCTGCCTGGTGTGGGATAATGAGTCCAGATAGAATGGAAAGTATCTATGTAGAAGGTTCACTGTCAGTAGGTATCCCACAAACCAGTATAATCCGCCCTTCATTATCATTATTCGCATTCTATATGAATAATAAGGTACAAGACATTATGAGTGGTGAAGATAATATTCGTCTGGTGGATTTCACAGATGACACAAATTACAGTGGGATAGTTTTTGAATCATCTTGTAGATATTGCTAAAGAAATCTCAGCACTATGAACAAACTCATACTCAATAATTATATAACACACTATGTTTGTTTCACAACTATATCCAAAAATATCACTATCTTGGTCCCTATTTCACACAGATTACACTAGTAGATGATACTGAATTTTATTGGAATTCAAATGACTGGTGAATACATAGAAGAAATTGACAGTGAATCATTTGTTGTTGAAACTTTGAACTAGCTTCTCTTACTCTGTAACTCGCCAGAGCATACAAAACAATTTGCAAATTTCTCAAAGCTCCTTGATCTCGGACTCCGTATTTCACAAAAATGTGGAGATATATAACCATCTGCCCTATAACACAAACTATAACGTCTGTGGTAGACCCTATTATAGTTTTCTTGGATTTTATGATGATCCTTGTCCTTGCTGTATAGTCCTTGCTGTAGAGTTGACAGTAACCGTGCTAACAAGTATTTCTTATTAATTTCAAAAAACTAGGCGGCTAGTTTTTTTTGTTATCGTGAAATGTCATTATTTCAATTGACGTTCAGTAACTGTTGAATAGTACAGTAGTTGTTGTATTAATTTGTGAGTTTTCTGTAGTATTGCTTCGAATTAATTCGAAGTACTAATGAGTGTAAAGCAAGGAGTTGAAATACTTATGATGATTGGCAATGCAGACAGATCGTGAACTCAGATGGAAGTGTATAACTTATTAATGGAAAAATTCCCAGAAAGACGCGTAACGCAGTCAGCAGTAAGTGAGATTGAAAAGAAATTTCAAGAAACTGGTACAGTTGAAAATGGATGCAAATCAGGTCGTCCTTCTGTAAATGATGATACAAAACTAGATGTTCGACTTGCTTTTGAAAAAGATTTGCACACTTCTGTTCGTAAGGTTAGTCGTGATTTCGATGTCAGTACACAGTACAGTACAACTGTGTGTAGTACAACTGTACAAAAAGTATTGAAATTGAAAAAATTGCATCCCTTCAAAATCGAACTTTTACAGGAATTAAACGAAGATGATACAGATAGAAGAATAGAATTTTGTGGAGCCATGATGGATAACTGTCACCGAGACCGTAAATGTATGGGCTGGCATTGTAAGAAACAGGATCATCGGACCCTAATTTTTCGACGGTACTTTAGACGGGCCAACATACCTTCAGTTTTTAAGGGGATATCTTGTACCTACTTTAATCAATTCATTCACCAGTAAAATTGATCCTGTAAGTTTTGATGAAAGTTTACGGTTTCAACAGTATTGTGCGTCCCCACATTATGCTGCAGATGGGACCATCTGAAGAATATTGTTTATAAAACGAAACCAGCAAATATTCAAAAGAATCAAAAGAGAGATTTCGAACAGAAATAAACAATATTTTCTCAAGAAACCATAAAAAAGGTTCAACAAAAATTTATTCAACGTTTAGGTTACTGTCAAATACAGCAAGGACTACAGTTCGAACATTTAAAATAAAGTCATGTATTTATTACTGGATTACTTTCCCATTGTTAAATTAATCATTGGAAAAATATATGAAATAATTTATTAATTCTTTCTTTCATTAGATATCAATAAAATTTATTTTCTAAGCCCATTAGACCCCAAGTATCATCCCTAGGATGATACTCGTTAGCTCGTTACGGATTATCTAAAACTGACAACAAATACAGGGTGTTGCTTTGAAAAAATTACCGATGACGTCAGCACATTAACATGGATCACCCTGTATAATAAAATTTCATTGTGAAATATAGAATATTAAAATTAAAAATCGACGTGTTTCAGGTTTTTGTGAAACGACCTTTGATTTTGGAAATATCGAATTTATTCCATACTTTGCGGACACAGTATATAGAAACAATTTTATAGGAAGTTCAAATATCTCTACATCATATTCAGTGACCCGACTATGAAACTCGTATCTTTTTAGCTCCTTTTCATCTATTCGTTTTATTATAGGAAAGACGTAGTTAGTCGATACGAGGCCCTCTATCACCACAGCAGACCCCGGGCGCTGGAAGCTCTGGATTCCTTACCTGACCTGGAGCACGCAACTCAACTGAAGGCGAAGATTTTATTCTCTGTTGTCGTGGTAAGTTTCAAAAAAAAATTTCGCTGGTGAATGTTAGATCAGAAATACGCCAGATACATCAAAATTGGCTTTCACAAAAATGTCAAAAAGTTCATATTCACATCTAATCTAATGCCGGGTCCTGACCAAGCAGACAAAACAACGACAAGACAAGAACATTCATGTTTCGCGACAAAGTGGCGACAAATCCGATACATTTCTGCAACATTTTTGTCTTATTTGGGTTTTGTTTCCAAATTCTGAGACTGTTGCAAGTCCCGTCGCCAGTCGGTAAAGATCAAAGGGTCTCTGTTTTGTCTGCATATTTTACGACTAGTTGTCGGCGCAGTGTGGACGGTGCGGGCTGACAAAAGATATGAACTGCTTTGATACTTTTGAAAGATACGTGAGGCTGTAGTAGGAATCGCCTGTTGATAGAAATCTTAAAGATATTGCTAACCTTTCTGTTACACTTATAGCATTTCTGTAGTTAGTATGTCTTTTGGCAACTGCAGGACCAACAAGGCATATCAGATTCTCGAAATCCTCGGTGGACATTCTTATCAGATTCTCGAAATCCTCGGTGGACATTCTTAGAAAATTCTTAAAACTTGAACGAATCTCACCACTTAGTCCAATATCATCCTCACGTAACTGAACTAACAATTCATCCAAAAACGTTTGCGTTTCATTTTCCCAACATTGGATGAAGAGGAAAGAAGGATATAACAACTGGCGGCTAGCAATAAATCTTCATTTTTTGAATGTTCCTCCTGGTGGAAATGCCACATGGTTAAACAACGAATTCCCATCAACTAAATTTTGCTGCACATTTGTCGTTGTGGTTTGTCTCAATTTTGTCTTGTCTGAATACCTAATATTTTGTTGCAATTTTGTCGTGTTTTTGTCTCAAAATCGTGTTTACTTTTTGTCTGCTTGGTCTGGACCCGGCATAATATCTCATCATCACTCACAAAAAAGATTAGACTATTACTCAGTCGAAATATCATAACCGCTTTTTGTTTACATCAGCCAATATAAGACGGGTAGAATCGGAAGATGATGTTGGGTACGAAAACGTACCCAACAGTAATGACCTCTTTAAACGAGTAGAACGTCAAATTCATTTCCAAAGCATTCTTGTGAAAAATGCAAAATATTCGTAATAACTTCAACATACATCGATTATCAAATAATCGACTTGATGTTTTCAAGTCCAAATATTTAGAAAACGGTTGCTTACAGCGACTAGTAACAAGGGTAGCTTACTTACATAGATATGATATAGGAATCGATTTTTTTACTGAAAAATGTGCTGGAAGTTCGCCCAAAAAAGTTATGGATCTTTAAAAAAGAAAAAGACGTGTAGGTGGCGCCCCCTACGAGTAAGAGCAATAAGAACATCGGGTTCGAATTCGACACCTCAAAAACCTCCTATTACCAAGTTTCGTTTAATTAAGTTCAGTATTTCAAAAGTTATTTGATAAAAACGAAAATAAACATAAAACTTCAACATCCTGTATCTTGGAAACGAAGCGTTTCCGGACATTTATTTATTTGGACAATTCATATTAGAATATTGTGAGGAATCACCTCCTGAAGTCTGTCAAAGTACTTTTGAATCACCCTGTACATCGCAGCAAGGTAGATCACTTTGACAGCTACCACATCGCAGCAGTAGACGAAACGTCAGGTACAAAAACCTACTGATTATCGCTAATAAACCCGGAGAAATCTGACAATTTGTTAGACACCGGACGTGAAAGCCCATACCATGATCTTGTGGTAATGTAACGAAGCTGTCATTTCCAGCTACCCGGCGATTTCACCAGGAATTCATTACATAACCTCTTATACGATCCCATAAAACGTATCTCGCAATTTATTCGGATTGAGAGAGCAGCATTCGTTTTCCAGGAAACCCATTCATCAGAAATGTCTTATTCGAGAGGCAAGCTTCTGAAATCGTTTCAGCAAAGATGGGCTTTATTGTCTATTCAAGACTGAATGGGGCGTGGAGATTCGAACATTTTTCATGTCTTGTTTGCAGTTCTCGAAATACGATTTATATTGATGCGAATAAAATATGGTTATTTCGAATCGAGGCGATTCATCAAAAGGAGAAGGTGTAAATATTCTTGTGGTTGGAGATGGAAATTGATTCAACATAAAACATCGATGATAAAACATTTGATATAAATGGAAGAGGAATTGAGTATGAATCCATCAACGGTGTAATTTATTTTCCTCCTTTTCATTGAAGAGAATATACACCTCTCTACTCCCAAGAAGTTTTGGTAAAATCGGAGACAAATCATTTTTTGGGATTCCACCTGTGTAGTACATTGGTCCCTTCGCATCCGGCTGGAACTACCAAAAATGTAGAGACTGAAATCGTTTCCATCCATTTTTAGGGTAGATGATTGCACAAGTCATAGAGAACAAGTAATGTTTCGAACCTATATAGGTTCATCATCAGCTAATTTAAAAAAAATTCTATAATAAAAGAAGAACAACAACAACAATAGTTAATACAATGAAGTATAATAGTATATTATGCAACGATCATGTAATGATGGTTATTAAGACACGAGCATTAACCGGGATACGAAACGAGCCGAAGGCGAGTTTTGTATGGTATATGCGAGTGTATTAATAACCATTACATGAGAGTTGCATACGCTATTTTTTCTAAACCCGATAAATAATGAAAAACTATAAATATTATATTTGTATTGAACACATTTACAGTAATTAAATTATATTTTTTAAAGAAAACACAAACTTGATTTTATTATCATGGATATATGAAAACTATAAAGATTCTAATTATATTTATATTGTATATAACAACTGTTATTAATCTGATCTTTTAAAATATTGGAGTCGATGGTATTCCTTCTATATCGCTGTTTTCAGACATTTTGATAATATAGGTAGGTAATATGAAAACTGATTTTGACAAATAAAGCAATTAGTTACTTAGGTTAGAATCTAGGACAAACAAAGGAACAGGATTCTTGATTGAGAAATTATGGGTTTCTATTGGTTGCTAATCTGTATCGTTATGAAAAATCTGTATCATAATGGATATCATTATGAAACGGATTATGGTCATACAAGTGTATTGTTAGAGTACGGGTGTAGAAAAAATTACTTATATGGAGAAAAAAACGTTTATAATGAAGGAAAGAAAATTATCACATGTTACTAATGAATCTGTTCAAATCTGGTTTTCCGTTAATCAGCTGTCGCCCGCATACGAATGACAACTCTCAGAAGTTGAGAAAATTGTACGAGCTAAGGACTAACGAGGTCTTACCTTTAAACGTGTGATTCCTAACACGGTTTCAGAATCATTTCCGCTTCAACCCTCGTCTACGACTCGGGAAATTTTCAAAATATTCAAGAGCTCGAAAAAATTTCCGGAAATAATTTGACTAGTGAAAATTTTCATATTTGGTAATATGAAGGACGTTTATAACATCCTAGCTCTAAATGACTTGAGTTTGGGAGGCTTGAAGCCTTTATATTCACTAATTAACATCAAAATAAAAAACCCCACATGAAAACGAATTCTAATGAAACAGATCCGTACTGAATTGGATGAAAAGAGAGGATCAATCATCAAAAATATATAAAAAATTAAGTCGAGATGACATGGCTCTGAAAACGAGTTGATATGTAGGTGATGGTCCTTCTTCTATCTTGTTCTGTGTTTGCATGGAACAGTGACAGCTCAGAACACGAGTTGATATGTAGGTGATCATCCCTCTTCTGATGTGTTCTGTGTTTGCAGGTCTCTTGTCACTGTTCTATGTCATCTCTACTTCATTTCTTTATATATTTTTGACAGTTAATTCTCTTTTCTCATCCAATTCAGTTCGGATCTCTTTCATTAGAATTCGTTTTCATGCGGAGTATTTTGATTTTAATGTTAATTAGTGGGTATGAAGGCTCCATACTTTAGTTTTTCATATTTAATATGAATTTTCATTACTGTCAACGTGTCATTGTGACCAATTATTCATTGGTAACATGTGATAATTTTCTTTTCTCCATTATAAAAATTTTCTCCTCTATGTAGGCAATTTTATACTTCATTGTATTAACTATTTATGTTGTTCTTCTTTCATCATAGAATTTTCAAAAAAATAGTGATTTCAAGAGAGATTCCAAGTCACGTGACTTGGAATCTCTCAACTTTTTATTTTTATTTTCTTTTTTTAATATAATTGTTATTTTCAGCTATTCATTTTCAATTCTCCTTTTTTAGTGGTTCAAGGGATTTCAAATCATTTTATATAGTATTAGACAATGGAAGTCCGAACTAGTGAAATTCATCATGAAACATTGTCAATCACTTTCAAACAAACAATGATACCATAATCCATAAAAATATCTACTAAATTTGAAAACATTTTAACGACATTGGTAACACGATATTTCATGTATATCCTAACTTAGCTGAATATGTAGATATAACTAATATATCAAAATATTTACAGAAGATGCTCCCATCTCAAAGCCTGTACAATTTAAATTTCACCCAGTTTGTGGTGAAACTATGGTCATTGTCCTCTCCAGAAGCGTATATTATCCCATTAGCATCTACCTAAAACCTCCTCAGTTTATTCCCATTCTGACGATTACCTCAACCTCCCTCAAAATTTCAATGGAATAAGTCCACTAATATCAGTATCTATCCGTCCAAACGACTGAAATGAGCCGTGCCGCTAATTAATTTAATTAACGCAAACTTCGGGATAAAGATGATCTTGGAGTTCAACTGTTAGGCCTAGCGAATTCACCAATTATTCAAATGAATGAATTATCGAGTTTTTCAGGCAACGACGTCAAGAGCATTAGACAGAACCCTTCGGGGAGCCTTGTGATTTACGCGGGGTGAACATTAGCCTCCCTGAGAGACGTAATTTAACTTCCTTGTCGTCGACGATATTATTATGTGAGCATAATTAATTTTCTATGTGTTCTGAAGGATCATGGGAACTCTGAAAGCC